AGAGAGAGAGAGAGAGAGAGAGAGAGAGAGAGAGAGTAAAATATAAAAACCAACAAACACAAGAAGTGAAACAATAATTTGTTGATTGAACGTTCTTCCTTCCATTGCAGAAATTGCTTGAGTGAAAGCAAAGCGTTTAACACCCCACGAGTCAGAAACAAAAGTGAGCTCAAACCAAACTATCTTTAATTCATTGACAAATTCTAGCTGTAGTGAATTTATCGCGGCACCAGTCAGTCAGGGCCCGGCTCTTGAAAATGTCAGCCATATTGTTTCTGCAATGGCTGAGCAGGGGTTCCAATGTTTCTTTAAAGAAGCTTTCTTTTTAAACGATGGTAACGTAGTTTCTAGGTGTCGAATTTTTTGTCGTTCAATTGAGAAAATAAAAACCCAGTTGATCAAAAAGTACAATTTTACGTGAGCATCCAACAATACCGCTTGATCAGTATAGGCCTAATATTTGCGTTTCGAATTACGACGCCCTTATAATTTTCTGAGTACAATTGATCCTACCTGCCTGCCTGACTTGAATGTGTTAACAACATTGTTTTGTTTGGATGAACACTACTTTAAATTCCTTATTCAACGTAATTAACAGTTACAAAAAGGATGTTACCGTATTTTCCAGTTAACCCATTCGTCACAGTGGTTGGCAGGTGGGTGTCCTGTTGTAGAAAGCTCCTTCTTTCCTTACAAACATCAATCGTCCTATCTATTGCTCTCGTTTTGTATTAGTATGTTACTCTCTATGCACACCTTTTTGTGTTTACTGTTTGTTTTACTGCGCTCGCAACTGCATAAGGTCATATGAACGAGCGGGACACGTTAAACATTTTCAGTAGGTAAGAAATTTCGAAATTTGCTCGGGTGGCGGCCGAGGCCTACTCTTATTGATCTTGGACCACCAACGGATGTTTAACGTGCGCAACTTGCACACGAGATCTCCGAGATTTTTCACCCTCATCCGAGACGGCTGTATGTGTAGATCTTTTCTACCATAAGACCAGGGGTGTGGCTGAAAGATAGCAGAAAGAGAGAGCCAAAGAGTAGCAGTAGAAAGGCTGCAGAAAGGGTCCGGAGCCCAGAGGAGGGGGCAAAGGAGGTGAGGGAGTGGGAGCAGAAAGTAGAGACGAAAGCAGACGACAGAACGTTGCTAGAGAGCAGGAAACGGGGGTGAAATGAAACGATTTTAGAGAAGATAAATGTCCATGGCTATCCTGATTCGAACCCAGGAACTATTGAATGAGAGGCGAACACCTTAACCTCTAGGCCACGAGAGCCCTCCAGTTACACCTTTAAACTTCGGCACCTATAATATAGCATTTTCGTGTTGCAGGTGCCGTAAGATTCTTATTAAGAAATGAAACTAAATCATTCATGACATTAAAAAAAGGTAGAAAAGTATGTTTCTTTAAAGTGTCGTTCTTTGCACAAAAGCAAAGCCATACATCTCGACTGCGGGCCTAGCTCAAGTGACGTCATTCTTTTGATGCAGTAGGTGGCTGGAGGGTGCCAATATTAGGTCTGGCTTCTTTTCACAACTTCAGTGTGTTCTTTTCTGTCCGTCTTTCCTGCCTTTATTTCCTGCACTAAATGGCTGTAATTAATATCGTACTGACGTTCTCCTCCATCTAAAAATAAAAGCTAAACCAAGAAGTGTTAACTTACACAATGATTTGGTTGTTATCATGTGCATGTAATATTTTCTGGGAGGGGGGGAGTATGTGTGTGTGTGTGTGTG